AGACTATACTATGACTTTTTCATGACATACTATACTATGACTTTTTTCATGGCAGACTATACTATGACTTTTTCATGACAAACTATACTATGACTTTTTTCATGGCAGACTATACTATGACTTTTTCATGACAAACTATACTATGACTTTTTTCATGGCAGACTATACTATGACTTTTTCATGGCATACTATACTATGACTTTTTCATGACATACAATACTATAGCTTTTTCATGACATACTATATTATGACTTTTTTCATGACATACTATATTATGACTTTTCCATGGCATACTATACTATGACTTTTTTCATGGCAGACTATACTATGACTTGTTTATGATTTTATGACATAGTACACTATAAACATTTTATGACAAACTAAAGTTTTGTAATGCCTTACTACATGACATTTTTGAAACATCAAACTATGACATTTTTATGACATAGAATACTATGATTTTTTGGATGATTTTCTTAATGACATAGTATATTACTAAATTATATGACATACAATACTATGACTTGAAAAAAGAAGATACACTATATTATGATTTTTTTTAATGACTTTTTATATATTGTTATTTATGGTATACTATACTATGACTTTTTAATGAAAAATGTTATTGCATACTCTACTATGACTTTTAAATCATATGTCAAATCAGATAGTATACTTTGAAGTGTGCGTTTTTGACATATACTATGACTTATGACAGTGTATTATGAAAGATTTAAGTGACGTCTTCAAAGTGATTGTTTTGTCAGTCCAAAAAACAGATATTTACAATTTAAAATCATATAAAAACTGAAAAAAGCAGCAAATCTTCACATTTAGGAAGATAAAACCAGTGGGCCTAAATGTCTGATGTTTGTGCCCCATGAATCATTTAAAGGTTTAGCATCAATCTGTCAGTGGATTAATGGTCTAATTGTTTCAGCTCTGTGAACGTCACACCCTGAACCTGTTTTCACAGAGCAGTAAACAATCAATGGTGGCGGAAGAGTTGTTGTTGTTTTAATATTTAACATTCTCAGGCGTCCACCTGTGCACCTGGTAACCTCATGTGTAGCTGTTGGCTGCGGGTTGGTGAGAGCAGATGTGTTACCTGTTCTGGCCCTGCCCTTCACGTTTCACTTGACCTGAACACACATGGCTCACAGCCGCTGGGAAACTCCACACTGGGCTGCTTTCCAAGGACTTGATCTCTTGGGAAGACAGATACACATTATTTCCTGTAAATGCTGCGGTGACTCCTCTGGACATGTCCACATTGTCACTTTTAACATGAGGTCATCAGGAAAATGGTGGTTTAATAAAGACCGACATTGAGTAAGTGTTAGCGTACTTTAGGATTTACTCAGGTTTATTTGTATAAAAGTCTAGTTTTAGCTCCAATATTTTACCAGGGACAATAAGAGAGGATCAATATCACTCTCATGACATAGGGCTGAACTACATGTCCAAAGGTTGCAGCACTCTAATGACCTAAATTATGATGAGGAGGTAATGATTACAGGAGTAATTCAAAGAAACTAAGTACCTGATACTTTCATTGAGGTTATTACATTAGTGTAATTTGCTAAAATTAATCTTCTAACACTGTGGTTCCCAACTGGTCCAGCCACAGGGTCCAGATTCTTCCCTAGTCATTAGTTCAAGATCCACACTGTTAAATATATTCAGTATCATACCTGCATTCTGCCATGTCGTTAAGGTAGTTTGCTGTCTCTTTCTTACTCACTCTACAGCAGGAAAACACACTTTAAGATGTGTGCTGAAAATTCCCCGTACTAAAATGGGTTATTTGACAAACTTGATGTGTTCGCGAGTCCCTTGTGGTTGTTTCAGAATGGAACCACGACCAACTTTTGGACTGCGACCCACCAGTTGGGATCCACTGTTGTAATAGTATTCCTCTCACTATATGAAGGTACTGTAATAATGTAATATTATTTACTCAAGCACTGTTTTTAAGTACAAATTTGGAGTCTGTCTTACTCACGACACTTAACGTGTTTGTACTGCACAACATTTCAGGGGGGAATATTGTACTTTTTACTTTACTACTATTATTTGAAAGCTTTAGTTATTTTATAAATTCAGATTTTTGCACATACAACGTTCAAAAAGCTTGTAAAATATGATGTTCTCTTATCAATTATACAATTCAACAGTTTATAGAGGCTGATTGGATTAACAGGACATTAACTGGCAACTATTTTGATTGTTTCAGTCATTTTTCTTGTCTTTTTTAAAAGATTTTTTAGGGCTTTTGTGCCTTTAATTGATAGGCCAATTGTTAACGTAAATGGGGGAAAGCGATGGGGACAACATGCAGCGAAGAGCCGTAGGTTGGAATCAAGCCCATGGCCGCTGCAGCAAGGACAAAGCCTTTGTACATGGGGTAGGCTACCTGCTCTACCAGGTGAGCCAGTGGCCACCCCAGTTTCAATCATTTATGATGCAAAAACATTTCATGGTTTTAGCTTTAAAAATGTGCGTACGTTTCCTTTTTAATTTTTGAAATTATTTTAATTCATCACTTGTAATTTTGTAATGTTGGTTGGATTAAAACCAGCTCTGTGAAGGTGTCGCTTTGGGCTCTGGGTAAATGTGGCAGCACTTCTCACTACTTTCAGATTTTTTTTACAAACCAATCAATCAACTGATCTAGAAAATAATCAGTGAAATAAGTATTCGTTGCAGTTTTATATAAAATAGTATATAAAAAAAGCTCCATCTTAACCAACTACAACAGAAGAATGCTGCTTTCACATGAGTGTATGAGTAACAATAATGTAATGACATCATATATAACAGTATATCATTGAGTAGTTTTACTTTTAATACTTTTAAGTACATTTTTCTGTTTACACCTACTTTTACATATGTAATATTTTCAGTTTTTTTCAGTGTGGTATTAGTACTCCTACCTGAGTAAATGATATGATTACGCCCTCCACCACCAGTTACAGCAGTGTCAGACTGGAGGCAAAAACCTCAACTCTCAGTTGTGTGATGTCGAGAGTGTCTGTTGGTTTGCACTGTGGACTCTGGGGAAAACTGAGCAGACAGGATGAGTCATGTTGGGTGGAAATGATCAAATATGGAAATAGTGATGCAAAGAGATTTGATCAG